GTTGATAAGCATATACAATTTTTTCAATTATGAAAATAATAAAAGCTGTTATCATTCCACAGCACATCATTAAAATTACTAAAGAAACTTGATCTATCCCAATCGCTTCTACGTTGGCATTATTAAGACGCTGACTTTTCTCCGTTAACCAACGATCTACTAACTCATCCCACAATCCAACTTCCTTTAATCTGAGTATCCTGTACACATAAAAATTACTTGTTCACATAGCATGTTAACATTATACCTATGTATACGATGGTATTATAATCGCTTTTTACCCGAGGTCGATGGTCCTTTTGTATTTAAAATTCCTCGCAATGCCGGAAGCTACCCACATTCTGAAGTAAGATTGTCCAATTGGAATCACTTCACATCCAATTTGACCTCTTGCTTTATACTCGTCTTCACCTTGGAGTACGGTATACTCCTTTTTACCTTTTATACATGCCAATTTAAACATTTCCTCGACTGTTGATGTAACGACGACGCGTTTTGCAGTTCTTACCAGTACATAAGGTTTGTTAGGGCTTAACTATAAATTTTTTAATATCCAATATCTGAACATATACTTGATGTAATTTAAAGATTAACAAATTACATAAATGAATCTAATAAATAAATTATATCAAACGTATTTTATTATTACCTTAAACGCGATATCTCCAATAGAACCTTTCAAAATAACAACGTCATATGAGGTATCGGTCAGCAGAGACTCTAGATTATTAAATGGCGGTATAACGTTAATCCTTTTTGCTACATAAAGGAATAACAAAGCTCCAAATGCCATCGACAATATAGAACAAAAGAAACCCAGCGATACTTCAAATATTCTTGATCTTCCAACAAGAACATCGGGAGTATAGCCTGTTACAGTTATTACTCAAATTAATAATTTTTTGTTATTACATATATCATTTAATGATTAAATATCATTTTATTTCGATAAAGATATTGCGACTATAGTCATTTTTGTATTATTTCAAAATAAAGTTAACCTTCTCGCATAACAATTATGACGCATTTATAAAATAAAAAATCTGACTTCACTTAAACTCTATACCAAGGTAAACATTTTGACAAAAAATGTCACACTATGTTCATAAATGTGATATGATATGATATGATATCTGCATTGCTTTTTAATTTAGCTACAGTTAAAAAATAGAAACAGGATGAAACATATTTATATTAATCATACATACTTTGATTGCAGAACATTCCAAAGGTGTAAAAAATATGATCGCTAATGGCCGAGCGTCTGCAATTATTTCCGATCCGTGCGAGAATAATTTGTGACCAAAAACTGCATACGCTCAATAATAGACACATAACCAATATAAAGCACCATATTTTCCAGGAGAACACTTTTGCCATCCATGTGCTGTCGTGTATTATCTCATGTTGAATATATAATCGGTGGCTGTAAAATTATTATACGATTGTTATAGCATGGGGTTTATAAGAATAAATTTTATACGTTGTTATATGTCTCTTTTTTAAAGTTGCATTCTTTCGTCTTTATTTAGCATTTTAGAATATGTCATCGTGTGAAGCACTTAAAGCGTACCTGTTCATCCATAAAGGCATTGTAAAATCAACTGCTATACGTCGAACGTTGTAAGTTTCGACTTTTGGAATCGCACTAGTTTCATTGCGCGAAATTATACTTAGTAATCCTTGCTCAAAAACGGTATGGTTTTTCGATGATGCACCCAGGCCAGTTTCATTTGATTTTATTGGCTGTAATCTAAGAATATGAAGTATCCTTTGATTGTACATGTAATTTATCGTTAGCCAGCTTTGCCAACGATCCTTTAATATAATAAAAGTGGTTTGGATTACAATTTAATCTTACGTAAAATTCAATTTTTCAGAAAGAAGAGTCCACAATTCACCGCAAAGTCCTGTAACTTTTGTATCGTTATCGTAAAATTCGAGAAAATGCGGATCCTAAAATACATGAAGAAATTGTCATCCAGTCTTCGCAATCAGTTTATATTTTTTAGTTTGTAATTCTTTAATAAATTGTATGACGTTGAAAGAATAGTAAATAATTTAAAATTGTTTCCCGAAATATAGAATAAGAAAAATGATTCTTTCTTGCATTATCACAGTTATCACTAAAAAAATACGATATTTCTATCGATCATTATTACTTGGTCCTCTTGATACTATTAATTTATTGAATATTAATTTTACTGAGAGAAGTGTGGAAATATGTATAAATATAATAGAATATCCAAAAACTCATTTGAGCTTCATGGAAGCGTACCTGGAAGGATGTTAGCGTCAAGTTGCGCAATTGGAAATTGTGGATTTCCAGTGCTCGACTTTGTTTAAGACGTTCTTGTTGCAGCATGGAAAATATCGGCACGCTGGAGATTGGCACGAAAGTTTTCTGCGTTTTACTCCAAATCACGCCGTTCATTGTTTCGGACAAAGCTCGACTTAATCGGATACAACGCTCGGCTCACAAAGACAATTTGCAATGTGCTTTGCCGATTTACAACGATAATGATATATATATTGTTATTTTCGTAATATAATTACGGAAATTATTATTATCATGCATATCCTTGATCGCATTTTGATCACGGTGAAACAGTGTGCAGTTAAATTGCAGATAAATTGTCTTTTTTATGCTGAAGATAATTTAACTTGCAACATTTATTTTTATAGCAGAGAAAAAGAGAAAGAAAATGTTTATGTATTAATGTTGCATTAATGCAGTGTCCATTTAAAACTATTTATTTTTTGATTAGAACTTCTCATTTAACGAAGAGGGTATAAAATATTATACATACCTTATATAGCTAGGTGTTGCCGGATCATGTACAGTACAAATATACAATGTATTCGATGCACGTGCTTTGTAAGGATTTTAACGTAGATTGAGATATGATACAAATATACTTTATTTACGTTACGTTTATTCATGGCTAATAAATTTTAGTCATTATTATAATATGCAGGATAAAGGATTTGCCTTTTGTCTGATCAATTGCTCGGTGCCAATGGCGCGTCAATTTTGTTATCTCACAGCTAATACGAACACCGAAGCGATCAAGATCATCAGAACACGTGATTTTACTATATGAGTGAAATATATAATCAATAAATACACATATCATGGGCATTTGTATCATTTATTACAGATTGTAAATAAAAAGATAATTTAGCTAGCACGTATTGTTACTTAAATAAAACATTAGGTGGAACAAATTGATCCATTATTGCAATATAAAATAAAGCCATCCGATGAATAGAAAAACTATTGTAAATCTCTCTCTCTCTCGTATATTAGGTATTACAATTGTTTAATATACTGTAATCTTTTACAATTGTTTTTTGATCGAGTACTTTCAGAAACATAAAATGTTGTCTTGTTATAAAGTTTGATGAGCATTATAATCACATCAGCAATTTTTCGACATGTTGTGTCTATTTTACTATTAATCTCCAATTTATGTAGTTTATAATCTTTTTATTTTAATAGCGAGTATCCACTTAAAACTAACAGTAAGTTCGATCTATATATTCATAGAATATCAAATGACGTAATGAGATAAATAAATATATATGAGAGAAATAAAATTCTGACGATACTCATACATAATCATGTTTGATTAATAATTTTATAATTTATCAAAGTTTTTTAATTATTACAGCATTAATTGTGGTTTACATATTCATGTTTGGTATAAATGTAATAGAGTTTTCAAACGTGAGTTAAATAACTGCTGGCAGATAAATCTTTGAAGCAAATAAAGTAAAATTACATAATTAAAATATTTTTGATAGCATTAGTAAAAAGTTACGATAGCCTGCGTTGATAAGCATATACAATTTTTTCAATCATGAAAATAATAAAAGCTGTTATCATTCCACAGCACATCATTAAAATTACTAAAGAAACTTGATCTATCCCAATCGCTTCTACGTTGGCATTATTATGACGTTCACTTTTCTCCATTAACCAACGATCTACTAACGCATCCCACAATCCAACTTCTTTTAATCTGAGTATCCTGTATACATAAAAATTACTTGTTTACATATAGCACGTTAGCATTATACACGACGGTATTATAATCGCTTTTTACCCGAGGTCGATGGTCCTTTTGTACTTAAAATTCTTCGCAATGCCGGAAGCTACCCACATTTTGAAGTAAGATTCTCCAACTGGAATCACCTCACATCCAATTTGACCTCTTGCTTTATACTCGTCTTCACCTTGGAGTGCGGTATACTTCTTTTTACCTTTTATACATGCCAATTTAAACATTTCTTCGACTGTTGATGCAACGACGACGCGTTTTGCAGTTCTTACCAGTGCATAAGGTTTGTTAGGGCTTACCTATAAATTTTTTAATATCTGAACATCTGAACATTTTAATATTCAATATCTGAACATATACTCGATGTAATTTAAAGATTAACAAATTACATAAATGGATCTAATAAATAAATAATATCAAACGTATTTTATTATTACCTTAAACGCTATATCTCCAATAGAACCTTTCAAAATAACAACGTCATATGAAGTATCGGTCAGCAGAGACTCTAGATTATTGAATGGCGGTATAACGTTAATCCTTTTTGCTATATAAAGGAATAACAAAGCTCCAAATGCCATCGACAATATAGAACAAAACAGGCCCAGCGATACTTCATATATTCTTGATCTTCCAACAAGAACATCGGGAATATAGCCTGTTACAGTTGTTACTCAAATTAATAATTTTGTGTTATTACATACCATTAATGATTAAATATCATTTTATTCCGATACGGATATACAGATATTGCGATTATAGTCATTTTTGTATTAGGTATATTTCAAAATAAAGTTAACATTTTCGCATAATAATTATAACGCGCATTTATATAATAATAAATGTAACTTTACTTAAACTCTGTACCAAGGTAAACATTTTGACAAAAAATGTCACACTATGTTCATAAATGTGATATGATATGATATCTGCATTGCTTTTTAATTTAGCTACAGTTAAAAAATTAGAAACAGGATAAAACATATTCATATTAATCATACATACTTTGATTACAGATCATTCCAAAAGTGTAAAAAATATGATCGCTAATGGTCGAGCGTCTGCAATTATTTCCGATCCGTGCAAGAATAATTTGTGACCAAAAACTGGATACGCTCAATAATAGACACATAACCAATATAAAGCACCATATTTCCCAGGAGAACACTTTTGCCATCCATGTGCTGTCGTGTATTATCTCATGTTGAATATAAAATCGGTGGCTGTAACATTATAAGATTGTTATAACAACCTAAAGTTTATAAGAATAAATTTTATACGTCTTTTTTATATGTTTTTTTGTTATATGTCTTTTTTTAAAAGTTGCATTGTTTCATCTTTATTTAGCATCTTAGAAGACTTAGAAGATATCATCGTGTGAGGCACTTAAAGCGTACCTGTTCATCCATAAAGGTATTGTAAAATCAACAGCTATATTTCGAACACTGTAAGTTTCGACTTTTGGAATCGCAATAGTTTCATTGCGCGAAATTATACTTAGTAATCCTTGCTCAAAAACGGTACTGTTTTTTGATGATGCGCCCAGGCTAGTTTCATTTGATCTTATTGGCTGCAATCTGAGAATATGAAGTATTCTTTGATTGTACAATATGTAATTTATCGTTAGCTTTGCTAACAATCTTTTAATATAATACATCGCGGTTTGGATTACAGTTTAATCTTACGTAAAATTCAATTTTTCAGAAAGAAGAATCCACAATTCACCGCAAAGTCCTGTAACTTTCGTATCGTTATCGTAAAATTCGAGGAAATGCGGATCCTAAAATACATGAAGAAATTGTCATCCAAACTTCGCAGTCAGTTTATATTTCTTAGTTTGTAATTCTTTAATAAATTGTATGACATTGAAAGAATAGTAAATAATTTAAAATTGTTTCCCGAAATATAGAATAAGAAAAATTATTCTTTCTTGCATTATCACAGTTATCACTAAAAAAATACGATATTTCTATCGATCATTATTACTTGGTCCTTTTTATACTATTAATTTATTGAATATTAATTTTACTGAGAGAAGTGTGAAAATATGTATAAATATAATAGGATATCCAAAAACTCAGTTGAGCTTCATGGAAGCGTACCTGGAAGGATGTTAGAGTCAAGTTGCGCAATTGGAAATTGTGGGTTTCCAGTGCTCGGCTTTGTTTAAGACGTTCTTGTTGCAGCATGGCAAATATCGGCACGCTGGAAATTGGTACAAAAGTCTTCTGCATTTTACTCCAAATCACGCCGTTCATTGTTTCGGACAACGACAAAGCTCGACGTAATCGGGAATAACACTCGTCTCACAAAGACATTTGGAACGTGTTTTGCTGATTTGCAATGATATATTATATGATATATATTATTTTCTTACACAGTATAATTACGGAAATTGTTATTATATTCTATCCTTGATCGCATTGTCCAAGGTGTAAATATGAGACAATTGCAGTTAAATTGTCCTCCTTATGGAGGAGACCATTTTACTCGAAATTACTTCTTTTATAGCTGAGAAAAAGAGAAAGAAAATGTATATGTATTAATATTGCATTAGTGCAGTATCCATCAATTATTCATCTATTGTTTAGAACTTCCTATTTGACAGAGAGAGTAGATACATATCTTATAGGTTGCAGGATCATGTAAACAGTAGAAATGTACAATGTATTCGATGCACCTGCTTTGTAATGATTTTAATGTAGATCGAGATGTCTTGCAGTATATTTTGCTTACATCATTTATTTATGGCCAATCAATTTTAGTCACTATCATGATGTATAAGACAAACATGTGCTTTTTTTTCGATCAAATTGCTGGCATTGCGTGCCTTAATGGTGCGTTGTTATCACGTCGCTAATGCGAAGAGTGAAGCTAATGCAAAGATTAAAGTGATTAAGGTCATGAATACACGTGATTTCACTATGATGAAACATGTAATCAGTAAATACACGTCATGGGCATTTTTATCATTTGTTACAGATTGTAAATCGAAAGATAATTTAGCTAGCACGTATTGTTACTTAAATAAAACATTAGATGGAACAAATTGATATCCATTATTGCAATATAAAATAAAGCCTTCTGGTGAATGAAAAAACTTTTGTAATTGTTTCTCTCTCGTATATTAGGTATTACATTTGTTTAATATACTGTAATCTTTTACAATTGTTTTTTGATCGAGTACTTTCAGAAACATAAAATGTTGTCTTGTTATAAAGTTTGATGAGCATTATAATCACATCAGCAATTTTTTGACATGTTGTGTTTATTTTACTATTAATCTCCAATTTATGTAGCTTATAATCTTTTTATTTTAATAGTATCCACTTAAAACTATGAACTGACGTAATAATGAGATAAATAAAATTCTGGTGATACTCAAACATGATCATGTTTGATTAATAATTTTATTATTTATCACAATTTTTTAATTATTACAGCATTAATTGTGGTTTACACGTTCATGTATGGTATAAATGTAATAGAGTTTTCAAACGTAAGTTAAATAACTGCTGGCAGATAAATCTTTGAAGCAAATAAAGTAAAATTACATAATTAAAATATT